CCATCATTCTGCAGGCGGCGGCGGATGAGCGTCAGCAGCGTCAAACGTGAGCGCGGTGTCAGCCTACGGACTGGTAGAGATGGCCGGGGGGGGGGGGGGGAAAAAACGTCTGCCCATCATCAGTGACCGACAGGGGGGAAGTTTGGCTCGGCATAAGCCCCCGAGGGGTGGAGCGACAAACGGCAGGCGACCCGATGGACAGGCGGCGAGTCTCGCGTCCTCGGCGCTCGGACTGGAGCCGGGCGGCGATTGGCGAGCAAGCGAAAGCGGGTCGCTCTCTTGCCAAAAAAAAGGGAGGGCGGTCCCCCGGGACAAGGGTGGGGAATGGGCAGCAGCGGACGCGTCTCGCGGGTTCCTCCATGGCAGCGGCTGCACCTGCCAACGGGAATAGGCAGGCGGTGCCAGGCCCAAGGGGGTACAGCCCCTCCCGCGGCGAAAAAGGGCCCATCCCCTGGTGGGGGTGGTGAAGTGAAGCCGCCGGTTCCCTGAGCAATAAGCGTCCCGGGGGTCTGGCGTGCTGCTCGCGGCGGCATAATCGGGCGCAATGCGGCGCGGCAAGCGCGAGCGGACGAGGAAAGTGCATGGTATCCCTCGTGTGGATGTCAGGCAAAGGCCGTCGGGGAACGTGGGGTACTATTTTCAATCAAAAAGAGCGCCTTCAGCGCTACTCTATCGAGGTCTCGCGGAGGGGCAATTTTTCGTTTTTCACCGACGTGATTGTGTGTGTGTGTGTGTGAGAGAGAGAGAGAGAGAGAGAGAGAGTCTCTCTCTGATCCCCCCTGTGGTGTTGGGTGCGAGGTCGTGGAAGCTTCGATCCCAAGGGGGGGAGCTGATCCCACTCGGTAACCAACTCTCAGGGGCAGTAGGTGGGCGGGCTTCAAGCGCGCTCATCTCGAACGACAAGGGGTCGCTACGCGCGGTCTTCCGCGGGGGGAGCTTCGTCGACGGTATGCGGCGATCGCCGCCCACTACCCTGCCCCCCCTAGTATGCCATCGACCAGTCCCCTGCCCCCTCTCGCCCTTGCTCTTCCTCTCTCCCTCCATTCCCTCGCCCCCATACCCCTCACCCTCCCCTCCATCCCCCTCCCCCTCCCCCCCCCCCTCGCCTCCCTCTCCCTCCGCGCGGTAGGGCCCATGCCCCTTCGCAAGAACACAAGAAGTGGGGTCTTACTAACTGAGCATGGTACGGGACCCGTGTGTGTGTGTGTGTGTGTGTGTGTGTGTGTGTGTGTGTGTGTGTGTGTGTGTGTGTGTGTGTGTGTGTGTGTGTGTGTGTGTGTGTGTGTGTGTGTGTGTGTGTGTGTGTGTGTAAAACCGCCAATGGCAGTTATCAGTCCCGTATTGAGAGAACAACCACCCTGTCCCGTTAAAGCGTACACCAACACCACAAAAGCTCTCTCTCTCTCTCCTGCTCCTCACGCTCAGGGGGGTAACAACTACCGAGTTCCTAGACGAGAGTCTACCTGCCACGTTCAAAACCTGCTCTAGCGGAAATTTTCTGTATATCGTGAATGATCGCCGAGTATCGCCTGCTGCTGCTGCTGCTGTTACGTCTTCGGTCCCCGCGGGAAGCCCCGCGCATAGGACAACAACGTCTGTCCCACACACACACAGACGCGCACATACATCATGCTCGGGCACACCCCACAGTGTAGTGGTGTGAGTACACAAGTACTAGCAGAGTGCACACCTGCCTTGGCGGGTGAGGGTCGTAAGAATCAAAGCCTCTTGGTGCCAAACGTGCTCGAGCGCGCCGAAGAGAGACGATCTACGCTGAGGGAGTTAGCGAAAGTCGCACGGGCAGAGGGGAGACCGAGGCCTCCGGCAGTCCGCACCGCCTCGCGAAAGGGAAGCAACGATCAACTCCAGATTGGACTTGGGTGCGCCGAGCGCCGGCGCGTAGGTCGAGTATCGCCTAATATCGCGCAATATCGCGCAATGCCGCCCACCCGCACCTCTCTCGCACTTTCGGCGCCCAGGACTGACACGTGTTGTGTAACGCTTCACGCGCAACATCGCCAACATCGCGTGCTATCGCATTTTATCGCCAAATATCGCGCGGCTAGTGCCATTTCACTGTGGCACAGCTCGCGTTACAAAACCTTGATTTGACCATTTGCGCAAAAAGGTACATCTCGGTGCCTTCCAGAGGCAGCTGCGACCCCGCCGAGTGGACGGCGTCACACAGCGCCTTGCGCGTCCTGTGGATGTACCTTTGTCGCGTGCCGGAGACGACTCGACGCCGCTGAGATCGGAGATCAAGCTCTGACAGGTCGCACGTCGCTCCTTTGACGCCGACGTGACTCACCCGTGCAGATCACATCATGACACGGTCTCGATGCGCTCGGTACGACGCCTGCGACCCGTCTCGGGTCAGGTGGCACGACGCTCATCGCGCCTACCAGCGCTGCCGTGCAGGTTGCCACGACGAGGTCGAGCACGCTTCTATACGCTCGCCGAGCCTTCCTTTCCATCCCATTAGGCAGTCTGGGAACGGTGGCGGTCAGAGGCAAAGCCTACGAGGGGTGGTGGAACCACATGTCACGGCTACTGCCGGCTCGACCCCACGATAGCCTCCGAAGGCTGACTTTGCGGCACCATCATCGGACGATGTCGACGAGTTTGGTCGCTCTCGCGGTAGCCAGATGACCTCTCTACCTAGGATCATCGGCCATGGCCGCAGGGAGCGCGGGGGAGGGCGCTGGAAGCAACACGGAGCTCCGTGGAGACGTTTTCAAGATTGCGTGTCAGAGTGAAATGGCACTAGCCTCAAAGTGCAAGCACTGCCAGTGCCACTGGCCCCGGGGTGGCGGTGCACGTGGGTGAGCACTGAGCAGCCTGCCCCTCCCTCCCCGCTCCCGAACTCCCGCACTTTCGTGTTAAACCTTACCTTCAACCTTGCCTGTATAAAAACACTGTCTCAGCTGCGGCGCACGCCGTGGACGGCTCGGTGGGCGCGCACTCGAGCCTGGCGAGCTGGCTCTCGCCCGGCAGCAGCCTCGCCTCGAGCCTCGCGGGCAGCCAGCCGGGCTGGGCGCGCCTATTCGTGGCAGAGTGCGGTTGCGGGTCTAGCGCTCTCAGCAGGCAGACCACGGGCACGGCCCGGGGCCGCGCGCTTGGCTGCGTCGGCGATCGCGTCGGGGTGGTCGGGCTGCACATGGCGGAAGCCGCAGCCCTTTCGGCGGCGGCAGGCGCCCGTGTTGAGGAACGCGTGGCAAAGCGGCGCCGTCGCCTCCGCCTCCTCTCTGCCCACACCGCCCGCCGAGGCTCCTCCTTCGCCTCCTCCTCCGCCTCCTCCCGCCGCCCGCAGCCCCTCCCGGGCCCGCTCCGCCACTCGCTCGCCCGAGGCCGGCGGCGGAGAGACATGCTTCGCCAGCCGCTCTCGCAAGGTGCTCCACGTGCCGACACCGGCGGCGGCGGCGGCGGCGGCGGCGGCGTACAGCTCGCGGCTTTTGACGAGGAAGAGCCTGTTCACAGCAGCCGGCCGCTGTGAAGAGACGCCGTCCGCCGCGCGTGCGGCTCGGTGGCGCTTGTCTGGGAGCAGACTTTCAAGTGTTACTCACAGGATAGAGCTGTATGAGTGAAGAGTGGCGCCTGGGT